TAACAAGCACACTATAATTACCTAAGTAATGTTAACACACAAGAGCAGTGTGGGGGGGGGAGGAGGTGGGAGGGGGCAGGGTGCGCAGCATAAGGCAACTAAAAATTTCACCGAAATCCCATTTCCTCTATAGCAAATGAGAAAGTCTGCACAGAGGGGCTACACACAGAAAAAGGCCAATGTCATACCACTTACACCTGACCATTAAAGACCGTTTAACACTGATGTAGAAAGACTATACAAGTTTTAAATAGGGTTTTTTTTTTCCATGAATACACAAATACACAGGAGATGTTGGGTTCTCACTGTTCTGCCATACACTTGGATCCAACTCTTCCGTAATGAAAATTTCTACCATTTCACTCCAAATGTATAAAGAATCTATATGCCCTTTCATTCTCATAAAACATAGGGAGCTCAACACCTACTGCAGGGATAAGCATTTCTTTTTTTTTCTGAGCACTCTCAAACTACAGTGGTAATCAATTAAGCAACATGGTTGTACCCAGGGTGAAGACTGATCTGGCTGAGAGAACTATCATTTCCACTACACAAAGCTTCAAAGGATCTTTAAACTCTTTGGGACATAGACCACCTCTTTTGTTTGGAAAGCAAACACCACATTATTGATACTACTGAAAGATAAACAACATTATTAGGACTAGTCAGTACACCAGCTTTCATTCCCCCCATCCAAAATGTGACAGAAAGTTTCTTCTCCTCTTTATTTCATCCTAGCTCTCTACCAAGGAACTGGCACCTATGGGTGCACAAAAAATGCAGCATTGCAGTAGCAAGCCTCACAGAGGCTAGGTCCCAAGTTCCCTGATTCCCAGGGGAAGTGGCAGCCCAAAATTATGTGCCTGCTCTCCCTACAAAATACATGAAGGAAGTTGCATGCCCAAGAACAGCAAAGGGGAGGAGGGGGAAGAGACAAAATAAGCAACGTGAGCATCTGGGCTGATTTACCAATACCCGGGAAGGAGATGTACCATCAGTCCCAGATTTCCCCTGATTTATGTCAGGTAGAGATCAAAAACTTTCCCCTAAAGTTCAGGGTGCCAAGACTATACTGATCTCCTTATAAAACACAGACATGAAACAGAAAGGAGAGACTGATCGGCTCCTTTGCCCGTCAGTGTGATAGGCAGCATCCTCACATAGTCTGAGCTGTACATTCGTTTGACACAGCTTTCCTAGCCTTTTCCCTGGAATGTGTCACAACCCTTCACCCAGCACTTTAGAGACAGAAAAAGAGTCCCTATGGCTCTCTGTTCCTTTTTACAACATCAAATAGTTCTTGTCCTTGTCCAATGGGTAAGACTCCTGCTTCCCAAGATGAACATCCCATCCACTAAACTGCAGTTATCCCATCTATCTCACACTAGGTCATACAGATAAAGACACGGCAGAAGGAGGTGCTGTTGTGAAGGACCAGATTCAAAGGCAGGGCTCGTTTCTTTTGTAAAGACCAATGTAGAAGCCTTTCTTTCATTTTTGCTATGACTTGTGTGTAACGGCTGTAGTGCCCAGCTTCTCATCACTGTCACGTCCTGCATGCTCCTAAACGCGTCCAGACTCGGAGGCACAAAGAAGTTATACATGTAAATCATAGGTATCCACTGATTTTAGGCACATTAAAAAAATACATAAGCAAGTGTTTGCTCCCTTTTTAACCATTTGAAATTCAGACTGTCGCAATTAACAATCCAAAACAGGAAAGAGATATTATAAGTTTGGTGCATCAGCAAATTAAACACTTCCTAGATTATCCTGATTTTACCTACATATGCCTGTGTCCTAGCGATAACCAGTCTCCAACTTAGGTGCTAACTCACTCCTGAAATCCTGACATGATCACATATCAAATGGCAAATTGATTTTCACGTAATACATTTAAGAGTATCTTCACCAAGCACACAACAGAGGCCTTGTGACCAGTGTTTCTTTTTCTCATTTTATGTTGGTTAATATCATAGGTAAACAAGAAATTTTGATAACACCTTCTAGTGCCTCTCTGTTCCCTTCCTTTTAGTTTTACTTAAAAAGATGGCATAAATTACTTATTAAGAGCTACTCAGAAATAAAAGTTCCCTGGTATTAGCCTGAAACGTGAGCATAGACAGAGAATCCTTATTACTAGGGGCTCAGCACCAGAACCAGAAGGTAGCGGAACAGTCTGACGTACACTGAAATTTGCTTTTTGTCATTTCTTTTGTTCTTTAGCTTGTAATACTCAAGGTACCGATTGCCTAGTCACCTGTTCTTTGTTCAGGCACAAGCATGAACCAACACTCAGTATTAACACTAAAAAAACCCCACTGAAAGAACAAGACTTTTTTAGCCATTACAGATGATAATTATGTTTTCTGGTCAGTGTCTTGGCCATTCCTATCAAGAATTATGTTCTCATAAGCCAAATGAGCAAGACTGAATGCAACCTTTCTTGGGGTTTTTTGCATTTGCATAAAGCACTGAAGCAGCCTACCATAATTTATGGCTATCATAAATTTAGTATAGGTGAACTCATTACAGTTAACAGCAGTACTTTATTCACAGCAGTTCCCCACAAAATGTAAGCCTCAAATCCCATTATTCCACAATAGCTTTTTAAGTAAACAAAACACCATTTAGGATTTGAAAACAATGCATCTTTCTGCAAACAGAGGCAGAAAGGAAAGAAAAAAAAAAAAAAAAAAAAGGCAAGCAGCTAGCACGGGACTATGCAATAGCTTCATTTTGTAAGAAGATTAGCACGGGGCAGAAAGCTTCGGATCTAGCTAGGAAAAGAACATACACTTTGTGCTAGCAGACTTTCCTGTAAGTGGAATTTTGTCCTGTTTGTTAATGCATCTCTCCAGAGATAAAAGAAATCACACTGAGAAGAGGAAATAGCATCCTTATTCCTCTCCAACATTATCTCAAGTAAAGCCCATTCTGATTTCAGCCCTTGGCAGGTACAACTCGCACACCCTCGACTGAGCTATCTGCAGTGTATTGCTAAACTGCAGTACTAAGTTTTGTTAAGTGGTCCTGCCATTTTAATCATGCTCAGCAGGGACAATATGATCAGGTGTTTTTCCTGTGCTTGTTGAATTCAAGTTGTATTTGGAGAGCAACCATTCCCTATCCTGCCTTCTCCAATTAAGCCTGTGTATAAGGGTGGAGAGGTGAACATGGAAATTAAGAGAGAGATAATGAGACTTTCCTAGAGTACATAAGACTGGCCTTAAAAAAGGCTGAAAAGAGGTACTGAATGTAAGGCACATAATTTTAACCACGAAGGTTCAGTAACAACAGATGTGAAGGGGAAGAAGACCAGAGTACACTGAAGAGAACCAAAAGCTGAGGCTCTTGTGAAAGTTACAGGAAAGACCAGAACATTTCTGTTTAAAATCCGAAGGCCACAATACCTCATGGCACGAGGAGCTCCGTAACAGCCTAACGCTCACCACAGCAAAGCAAGTTCACTGCAGGTTACGACAACTCATTTTAACTTCATCATCTCATATACAGCTGCAGTCTTGAAAGAAAATGAATGGAAACCACATAGGTTTTACTGCTTGTAGACTCAAACTTGAAAAAAAAAAAATACACATACCTATCTGTGGTTACATTGAACTTCACCCAGATGACCCGCAGTTCAAGCAAAGAGCCTCAAGTGAAGAGCATCACCGCAAAAGAAACACTGCCAAGACAAGTGGAGAGCTTACTCCCCAACGTGCTCGTACATATCAGCAATTCACTGATGGCAAACATGCGATCTTGGACTCCAGCCTATTTCCCTTAGAGTGGGAGCGGGGGAAAGGCCATGAAATTTATTTTGGACTTGAAGTTAATGAGTTTGATAACATGATGAGCTAATGAGATTATTACTGATTTGAAGAAGGAGCAGCAACATTACTGCAAACTCTGTCACTTTCTTTTCTTGCTCCACACCTGCTTTCTGCCTAATCAAAGAGGAGAGATGAAGATTCAAAGAGGAAAAAAATACTGGAGAGGAAGAATATACAAGTGTGGCATCAAATAGGTAACACTCAATCTCAACACAACAGTTCCCGTAGAATACAGTGTATTAAAAGCTGTAAGGGGATAATCAATGCACTTATTGATTTAGATGCCTACACAGTAGGTTAGCTACTTATTAAATCCATCAGCATCATCTGAACAGAATCCAAGCACAACAGCATCCTATTCGGTCGCCGCTCTCGGATCAGTAGGGTTTGCTCTTCTCCATTTTGCACTCGCAAGCCGTGCGCCCAGGTACAGCCTGGCTCTTTGGAAACGGGTTTACCTTTTTGTTTGTTTGTTTGTTTTGCTGGGTTGTGGGGTTTTTTGTTTTGTTTTTTTTTTCCTTTGGTTTTTCTTTTTGTTTTGTTTTGTTTTTTTTTTTTTCTTTTTGTTTTAAACCGCTCTCCCACTTTTCACCCACCCTTCCTCCACACCCTCCCCTCACGCTCGGCGGAGAGCCCAGCTCCCGTCCTCCCAGCAGCGAGCCGCCAGCCTGCGCCTCCTTCCCCCCTCACCCCCCCGGGGGAGAGCGTCCATCTCACCCGGCAGGGCAGGATGCATTTCAGCCGGGGCCCGGCCGCGCCGGCAGCACCACCGTGCCCCTCTCCGCACCGCCGCCACCCCCGATGCTCCCCGCCGCCCGGCCCGGCCGCCCCACCACCACCACCACCACCACCACCCCCCCACACACACACACCCACCAGCGCACAAAGGGCTGCGCCCGCCGGCGGCACCGGCACCGCGGCCGCCGGACCGAGCCGGGCCCGGCGCGGCTCCTCCCGCCGCCGCCGCAGCGGGGGGCGGCGGGCCGGGGCCTGCCGAGAGGGGCGCCCGGCGGAGCCGCCGCCGGCAGCGCTGAGGCGGGGGGCGCTGCCCCGGCCGCGGAGGGGCCCGGCGAGGAGCGGGCAGGATCCACCGCCCGCCTTCCCCCCCACCCCCCGCCCCGCAGCAGCCCGGCACCCGCGCCTCGCCGGCGGAGCGGCACGAACCTGCAGTCCCCGCCGCCGCCGCCTCCTCCTCCTCCTCCTCGGGAAGAGCCGGAGCTGCCTCTGCCCGCCTCAGCCTCCAGCCCCGGGGCGGGCGGCCTTGCCCGCCTCCGCCTGCTGCTGTCCGCGGTGCCCCCCCGGCGGCGGCGGGCTGGTTCGGCGCCGCTGCCCTCGGGAGGCGGGGAAGGGGCGAGCGGGGCGGGCGGCGGCGGCGGCGGCTGCGGGAGCCTCGCTCATTGAGTGCGGCAGCCCCAGCTGTCGCCGCCGCTGCTCCCCGCAGCCGCTACTTCCTGTGCAGCGACGGTTCAGTTCCTCCCGGGCCGCTGGGGGCAGGAGAGCCGGGGGGCGGAGGAGGAGGAGAAGGGGGGGGGGGGGGGTGCGGACGGACGGTCGGGTCAGATAGCGGGGGCGGCAGCGGCCGCCGCCGCCGCCGCTCCTCCCGCCGGCCCCGGCCCGCCCCGGCCCCGCCCCGGGCGGGCGCGGCGGGACCCCCGCCGGTCGCTCTGGCCGCCCCGCCGCGCACCCCCCCCCGCCCCGGCGCCGCCGAGCGGCCGCCAGGGGGCGCCGCCGCCGCGCCCGCCCGGGGCGCCCCTCACCGCGGCCCCGCGGCTCCGGGCGGGGGAGGGGAGGGGAGGGCGGCGTGCCCCACCGGCGGGGGGGGGGGGGGGCGATCGCTCGGCCCCGGGGAAGGGGAGTGCGGCGCCCACCGGGGCCGAAATGCCGCTCCACCTGCCTCAGGGAGCGGCGGCGCCTGCCCCCGGCCCCGCCGCGAGGAGGGGGAGCCGCCTCGCCCGGGCACGGGCGCTCACCGGCGCCACGGCTGGCTTTCCCGCCGGCTGCCCTCGGGGAGAGCGGTCGGTGACCTCCCCGCCCGGCAGCGCGTCCCACGACCGCCGCGGCGGGGAGGTGCGGGGGCCTCCCCCTCCCCGCCGGCCGGAGCCCCTCGGGGCTGGGAGCGGGCGGGCGGGCTCCGGCGGGGCGAGGGCGAAGCTTCCCGGGCGCGTACGCAGAGTTGGGGGTCCGTGTGGAAGGAACCGCGAAGGTGGCACCGTGAGGAATCAGGAATGGGAATTCTCAGCAACGCGGGGAACCGCTGTGTCACTCTATTAATAAGGGAAGGTACGATCCCGATGGAAAAAAAAAAAAAAAAAGCGGTAAAGCGGGGGCTCTCGGCTCTAGGGGTGACGCTCCACGTGCTTAAACCGCCTGCCCTGCCAAGGGCTGGACTTGATGGAAGCTCTTCCTGGAAGGAGCTGGATCTCGCCTACGTTATTTGATTTCTAACGAATGCAACGCCACAGACTGACAATATCTTTGTGTTCTACATGTACCATAAAGAAGTGGGTCAGAACATATCAAAGGGAATACCGCTTTGGTCTGTTTTTCAGAGTGAGTCTTGAAAGATAACGCTTTTGTTTGGAATCTCCTCAGGGTGAGATAGGACTGAAGGCAGGGGCTGTAGCAGATTCGATTGACCTGGACAGAGAAATTCAACTCGCTGAGGCTTTTACAGGCTATGATGAGTAGGAGTAAGGAGATCTTCCTCTCCCTTCTTGTGTGCAGCGTGAGGAAGTGTTGAAGCTTGGAAGTTACAAATCTTTTCTTTAAAAACAAAACAAAACAAAACAAAAAAACTTTAAAATTGGAACAGCATTTTCAAATACTAGTATCTAGTGTTGTCTTCCAAACACCTTACTCATGCCACTAGATAATTGGGTTTACTTTTCAAGATGGTGAGCGCTTGCAACTCTCAAAGCTTGTTGTTCAAGATGATTGCATATGTTCATTATCTCTGAAAGTCAGTTATTTTTATTCGGTGCCAGAATATGAATTTTCAGGAGACTAATGTTAGGCAGTAACATGGAAAGACAGTGGTCATAGTGCTCTCTGGATCATCACAGTAAAGCAAACACTACCCTCAGCGGTTATGGGAGACCTGTAGAAAAAAGTGGTTTTAACAGTTGTTTAGGATCCAAGTGTTCCCCTCTTTTGCCTGCGGTGTGTGACATTCAGAACATCATAACTCGACCTACTTTTGAAAAGTACACACAAATAATATATAAATATTTATGTTCTGTGTTTACTTGAAGTGCCATTAAATCCCTTAATTGCTGTGCTTTTACTATCATCACAGAATTCGCTACTGGTTTCCAGCCATGTGTGAGTTCTAGTACAAGTCAGAGATTCTGCCCTTTGGTCAGGTGCATATGCTGCTTTTTCTTCCCTCCTCAATCTCCTCCAGCACAGTCACTTACTGGCGGTCCTGATCAGCCTTCTCTAGTGCTGCTCAGCCCATGCCGACTTGCCCAATCACAAAATCTTTGGCCAGTCTCCTGTGCTGGTGTAGCTTTATATTAGGATGCCATAAATTACAGCAGCCTCTGTGGCTTCCTGGAGAACGTAGCTCAGAACTGAGACAGGACAAATGTAATTTAGAATTCCTCTAAAGGTCCCAGCGCTGAGCCTCCTGTTTGTCTTCTTTTTCCACACTGGTAGGACACAGGTATATATGCAGCTTGTTTTTCTGCAACTTTTGGGTTTGCTCAAGGATGCACATAGAGTACAGCTTCCATTTTTTATCTGTGTGAACTTTTAGTATACCTCACAAATCTGTTTCCACATAAGAAATAGCTCATTCAAGGAAATGATCTAATAGGAGTAGCTTATGACAGCTTGATTGCAGAAACAGAGCATGATGTAATTTCTTCAATCAGAAGACTTTTCAGATCGTATCACTAACGGAAAAACAGTTCAGCTTGCCTGACCTGTTTCTGGTCTACCCAAATTTTAACTACAGCAAAGTATAAATTCCCCAAGTTTTTTTATATACTGGCAGTCCTACTTTGCAGTGCTAGTGTGCTTATAGTGTCTAGTGAGAGCGTTGTGCATGTAACAATCAAATGATCACAACTATAATCTGAAAGGATGGTGCATTCATGGGGTATTTTAGCATGAGACAGATAAAGAAGAAAAAAGAGAAAGAAAAGGAAACACATTTAAAGTTTGGGAATAAAAATGGTGAGTACAGAAACAGCATGAAAAAAAAAAAAAATCCCAAAAGGGATCACCTATAAAGTTTACCAAGAAATTCATTGCCACCTTCCTGCCTAGCTGTCTTCTGACATTGTACTGTCAAATAGCATCTTCTCTTCCTCAGCTGGTAAGGGCTCTGCGAAGTGCCTGACCAGTGCCCCTGGAGTGAAACTGAAAGCAGCTGTCCTGATACTCACCTGTTATTATTGCCAGGCTTACAATGAGCTCTTCCACAGAAGCTGTGTTTACTAATGTGCATGAAGCAAGATTCCAAATAAAGCACTACTAGCCTCTTCTACTGAGCAAAATTCACTTAACATCAAAGTGGTTGGAATCTACTTGAGAGCATCAGGAAAGCAACTATTTCAGATCACCCCAACAGGTCTGCAGGGTCTGCTGGAAGGAAAGTGTCTTACATTGATCTTCACTTGTCAATTTTTCTGAAAATGTGAATATAATTAAGAGAAGCAGATTTTCTCTCCACCTGAAGAGTTTCCCTTAGTTTTTGAAATGTATCCCTTTTGTCCCCATCATACTTGCTATAGCCCCTCCTTCCCAAATCTCACTCTGGTTTCTCAAACCATTAGTTAGAAATCGCTGGAGGACATTTCTTTTTGAGTTTTCAATACTGAGCTGTGTCTGAGTCAGGTTCAAGACCTTGGTCCAACGGCAGTTCCTCATTACTTCCCATCAACTGCAGTAAAGCTCTGAATAACTTCTGGAGTGAAAAGTGGACTTGAAAATTCAGAAGTGTTCTGGTAAGTGCAGGTACACAGCATTAATAACACAAGTGAAAGCATGACATAGCAGCAACACTGTTATTTTTCTACTGTTGTCACATCGTATCCAAAATTTAAGCTCTAATTAATTTCAGGTCTTAACCAAAAACACATGCCAACAAGATGCATTAATGTGCATGTGATACAAAAGATATAGAAAGCAAAAGTTCATCTCCTGAAGAGGTTAATACTTTTAATCCAACCTAACTGAATATCCGCTTAGCTTACCAAATGTTCAACATTGCCTTAATAATCATTACTACAGTATTCTCTGCTTTGTCTTGTTCTCGGTAGTGTTGTGCTGTTGATATTGAGAAATGAACAGAAATCTGTACTATGAACACAGCTTTCTAACACTCACCTGAAAATTAATTACTGTAGAGCTGAAATTTCTTAATGCGTAAACCATTTTTTTTTTTTCCTTTGGGAAGGTGTAGTCAGCTTTCATTTGGTTGTTTCTGAGTTATATGAGCATTTTAAAAAGTCCTATCACCATAATTACAAATACTTCCAGTATGTTAGAAGAAATGTGACTAGAAATAAAAAGCCACAAGCTAAAAATACATATATAGCAGGCATTTCAGAAGGGACTGCTGATTTGGAGTGCTTAACTGTGCATACTTTAAGGGGCCAGCTTTTCAAAAGCTGTTGAGTTTGTATAAACTCTTCCCTTCCAGATGTCTCCATTACAGCTTCATCTTTTTTTTTTTTTTTCTCTCTCTTCTCTCAGTTCTAGTGTTGGTCTCCATTAGAAATGAACTGAGAAAGACTGATAGACAAGGTCACTTATGAAACTGGGACACAGGCATTCCTGTTTTAGGAATTCCAGATATTTTAGCCAGAGGTGACATCCCTAGATTTTCATCTCCATGTGCGTAGTTGAAAAAACTTCAGGCAGCTAAGCAAAACTTAAGCAGAAACCCTAGGCAGTGAGTTGGGAGGTATGGGAGGGAGCTTAAATTCCCTTTGTGCACTTTAGATGCCTAAATTCTTAACTACCATTGTGGTGGGATATGGACTTCATATTAAATAAAATCATATGTAAAATGTAATTTAATTTGGATTTCCCTGCTGCCTGGTACATTTTTTGAATAAAAACTTAATGAAACTACATATTGCCAGCAACAGATAAGTATATGCATATGCTTTACACATATGCATATTTCAAAAGGGTTATGAAGTTTAAATAAATAAATAAACTAAATTAAATGCAACATTATACTATTTTATTGGGAAGAACTAAGGAAAAACAGATTTATATCTTTTCCACTGGAAAATTAATTCTACTTCTTTACAGAAGAGTCTTCCAATACAAAAATCACATGATGCTGTGAAATAGGTCATGCTGCTCAGCAAAGAACAAAACCTCACACAGTACAAATACACAATACACATTTTGCTGTAACCACAGATCCCTATACTTTCTCTTGAAATTGTATTTGTTATCTTTTGATGCCCTGGGGTGAATTTTAATTCTGTTCTTCTCATAAGGCACTTGGAGCTGAACCAAACACTCTTCACTTATATTGAAATTGCATATATTTCCATG